TTTGTATTAAATAGGGGAATTTGTCGGTCATATATAAAAGGTTCGCAGACCAAATGGATGTCATAAATCTCTTAGTTTGCAGGATTGGGCTCATTATCGGGGTCTACACTTTTCTCTTTGAATGTGTAGTATTCAGGGTGTCAGGCATGATTATGCAAACTATTGGACGAATGAGATCCATTTGGTCTCATTTTTTTTAAAATTAAAACATACTACTTTCAAAACCTAAACTATATACCTCTTATACTTAAATTAAATTTCAAAAATTATTTTCATATTCATATTTTCAAATCAAAACGAAAAGTTGACCGACATGTAGCAAGACTTTGTTGTTGTTTGAAGCCTTGGGCAACCAAGCAGGCTTTTTAACTAGAAATGGAGCCATCGGCATTAAGTTTAGTACGATGGCTATTTGCAGCCTAGGACATTTTAATGAGGTAGTGGTGGAACGAGGAGCCATGTAACTTGGGATTTTAATGCCAGGAATGATAGTTGAGGAGTAGCAGCTTGGTTCAGTTTGGCTTTGCTAAGTGAGATTTAATATTTGACTTGGTTTGAGGGAGCAAGTTTGTAGGCGTTTTTGCATGGGATGAAAAGATGTGGTTTGTTGTGCTTTAAGAGTAGGTGTGAGATTAGTTTGTTGTTGTTGTTAAGTGGAAGGTGAAGGAAATAAGGATATGGAGTTTGGGTTTGTTTGGTTTGTAAAATTGGTAGCTGCAAGGAGGAGGTTATGTGTAGTGTATTGTGGTAGGATAGAAGTTGGGGAGAGTAGTGGGGGAGAGTTGTTGTTGGTGATGATGATGATGTTGAGGGGTGGGGTTTTGATGGAAGGGGAATGTCTGTTCATTGAAGAGAACATAATGGGAGATGTAGAATTTATTAGTGGTGGCAACGGTAGCCCTTTTGAGAGGTTGCGTATCTGATGAAGACACATGGTGTTGATAAAGGAGCAAGTTTGTGTTGGACGTATGGTTGAAACCAAGGGTAGCACTAACAACCGAAGATTTTAAGATGATTGTAGGATGGTTGGTGATGGTTTAGTAGTTCGTAGGGTGATTTAGAAGTAGTAGTTTTGGCTGATAAATGATTGACGAGGTAGGATGCTGTGAATAGAGTATTGGCATAGAGGTGGGAGGGGGACAAAGAGGAGGTCATGAACGTGCATACGGTTTCAATGGTGTGGCGATGTTTGTGCTCAGCGACCCCATTTTGTTCGGGCGTGTAAGACCAAAGGTGTAGCATGCCACGTTGATTAGTGAGGTTCTAAAAGGTTTGATTGATATATTCACCACCGCCATCTGTACGACTTGATTTGATTTTTTTTATGGGTATTGGTTTTCGACCATAGTTTTGAATTGGAAAAATTTTTGTGTCGTTTCATGCTCGTTGTGGAGAAGTTAGATCCATTTGTAGCGAGTGTAATTGTCAATAAAACCCAAATGGTATTTATAAGCTTGTAATGATAAGGTGGGAAGGATCCCATACATGCAAGTGAACTAGTTCTAAGCGTGAGAAGAACTTTGAAGTAGAGACATAGAAGGGGAGTTTATGGCTCTTAGTAATACTACAAGAATTACAATGCAAATGTTTAGAGAAAATGCATAAAAAGGGAAATCTGGAGGCCATAGTTGATTGCATTTTAGGCCAAGGAAGACCAAGTCGTTGATGCCATAGTTGCGGGAGATGTTGGATAGAGATGAGAGCGAGGTTTGTTGATGGTCGCGTGGTGGTTGGAAGAAGCACTGGGTAGAGATCGCGTATGCAAGGACCTTTAAGTATTGTGTGATTTGCCTTTAAGTCGGTGATGTAGTAGCCATCGGAGAAAAAGGTGGAGTAGGAGCTAGCTTGGGTTAGTTTATAAACGAAGATGAGGCTGAAAGCTAAATTTGGAATGTGTTGGAGATTGGGTAGATATAGCTTACTCAGAGGTGTAGGTAGAATCCCTTGGCCGATTTGAGCAATGGGGAGTTGTTGACCATTGACAGTGGAATTGATACTGTCTCCATGATTGTTTTGAGCTTAAAGGAGGTAATTCAGTTCAGCTGTCAAATGCTCGATGGTGCAACTATCGAGGTACCATTTGTTGTCATTTGAGTAAGTATTGCTGGTCACAAGGATTTTTGGTGTTAGATATGATTTATCATGGCAGAACTAATCTTCGTGCCTAGGTTTGTGGTCGATTTGGCGTACCATAAATGGTCGGTTGCTTCAAGTTTGATTGTAGTTGGGCTCGTTCAAGCGGCATGTAGGGACAATTTTGTTCCTATTTGCTACAGGATTGTTGGTTCAGTATCTACCTCGTATGCGAAAGGCTGTTAGATCAGTGGAGGTGCATGATTCCTTGGTTGTTTCATTTGCTAGGTTGATTTCTTCGTTGTAGAGTAGAGTGTAGAGATCGTCGAGGGAGATTGGTTGAAAAGTAGTATGGATAGTAGTTTTGAAGGTGTCACAGGTGGAGGGAAGTCCATTGAGAGTATGATGGATGATGCCTTCCGGATCGAGGGAGGCTCCTACAACGGCAAGGATGCCGACCTTCGCCTTAACTTCGGAGAGGTATTGGTTCATGAATTAGTTCAACATACTGAGATTGTGAAGCTCGATCTACAGTTGGATGATCCTGGAGCGATTGGAAAGATTGGAGTCTCCACTTTCCAGGTCGAGTAATTGTCAGTGGTGAGTTCAATTGAGACGAGGTTTCTGATGTTGCTCGGGATGAATTTGTGTTCGGAGAGGATGGGATCGCTTGGCAGAGTGGTGTGTTTGAGTTTCGGAGTGGCTGCCGGAAGAGGCATTGGAGGAGGATGAAGCCATGGAGAAACTTTCAGGCTAAGGTAGGTAGGTTGAGATAGTAGTTCTCTGATACCATTTGAATGTTAGGTAAGAAAAAGAAGATGACAGGAAAAAGGTAAGAAGCTTTTTTATTAACATTCTTTGTAAATACTTCAGTACAATAAGCTGATATATAAAGGAATATAAGAAGAAAGGGTAGTTATAGGATGAGTGGTTGAGATGTAAGCTGGCATTGTTGAGTGGGGTGGATCCTCCTAGGTACAGACCAAGGTGGAGATGTTGTGCGTGTGAGGTAATGGAGCAGAGGTTGTTACATAGAGAACTTAAATTTGAGGATATAAAGTATATGATTCCTAACACATTGCTATATCATCAATTTAGACCATTCAAAATCATAACCATCTCATAATTTTAGGTTGCTCTACACTTGACCATGAAAAGTGAAAAATAACTTTTCATGAACGATACATGCCCAAGTGTTGAGCAAGAAGTATGATAACAACTGCAAATTGCTATGATTAGATAACCCAAAATCATCTTCTATGCAAAAACAAGCATGCATGCTCATTTTTTTTTTGCATTATATCTTAAAACCATTGGATCAAAGCTTTTTCCATCTTGCTAACACACATAGATTAGCATCAAGCAGTTAAAATCAAGTTTTTATTCAGAAAAGGAATAAATGACTATGATATGTCAAGCTTTAAGTTTCTTACTGGTGGTGCATCATCACAAAGTTCAATTATCCCTCGAGCTATCAAGTTTCCCTGGACAAAACAGATAAGGAAAACCTTGATTAGTACCTTCAATGCCTAACACATGAAGAACAATCCAAGTCATTTCTAACATGAGGCAGCCATATATTAGAGATCGAAGGATAACATAAAATAAGGAAATACAAAAGACAAGAAAAGTAGAGATTTGCTAGATGAAGAAAAAAAACAGGTAATTTGTACAAATATATGTTGGAGAAGTCAGAGCCTACAACGATTGGAAACCAAAAAGTTAAAAAGTATAAATACCGGAGCCTGGAAGATAGGCTGCAAGTCAAAAACGAGAGAATTTTGATTAGGTTTCTTTACTGCATACTGGAGTTTGGATTTATAGTTCCTTGGATTTCAGCTTTGACAAGATGTTAGCTACAGCCATGCAAAATCATCTAAGATTTTCAAGCTTTTTTTACTTAGGCTCAAACTAAATATATTATTACAAAAGCAACTGCAACCTATGATTAGCAGGTAAAAACTCTTAACCCTAACCTCCTGTTATCTACCACCCCATAATCGAGGAGTGCAAATCTAGATTAGCAATCTGTGCATCAAGGGGTGAGTGCCAATGACAACATTATCAAGGATGGCTGCATCAACTCGTGTTTACTGACTTCATATTTGATGTGGTTTGTTTCCCTCTCTAGAGCCTAGAATCTAGCCATAGTACTTTCCAGCTGACTCTTCTAGAGGACTAGTGATGGAACCCACACCAATTAAAAAATTAAAGTCATCTCTTGACTCTTTGTAGTCTCCTATGTATAGTTTCAAATCCTCAACGTTTAGTTGGGTTGATCGGAACCAACATATCGAAACTCAGGTCAAGTTCCTATAGGGATTGAGGATGCCTTAGGAAGACCTTTTGGGATTTAGGGGTTTTCAATCTTTGAAACACCACATAAACTTACACCACCCACACACACAACACATACAAACACCATAATTCACATACAATTCACTAACCACCACCACCAACAACAACAACACAAAAAAATATTTATCCCACTAAGTGGGGTCGGCTACATGAATCTTTTTTCTCCATTGCATCCTATTTAGTGTCATATTTCATTTAATTCTAATAAATTAATATCCTTTTTTATACAATATGCCAAATTCTTCCTAGGCCTATCTCTGACATTTTTAATATAAGTAGAATATAAAACATCTACTCTTCTAATCAGATCATCAGATGGTCATTTAATGTGATCAAACCATCTAAGACGACTCTCTAATTTTGTTCGTCACTGGAACTACACTAACCCTATCACAAATATATACAATTCACTAACCAAAAAAAAATCAAATTTAAAATAAAATGACGGTCCTCATGACAAATCTGAGACCATTCGAACTGGTCGAGCGGCTCATTGTCGAGAGTGTTCTGCTAGACCTTGGTCGTGGCCTAGGAGAAAACCAGTTGGCATTTCGCTTGTTGAACGACTCCAATCAGATCGACAAATGTTATTCATCGTGTCCCACGTGAATCAAAATTAAATTGGCCCGATCACAGAAGAATTTGTCCGAACGATCCCAGATGACGAAACAAACCGCACGAGTGTATCCAGAACGTCAAACTTACTTAAAGAGTACACCTGTTTCATTATAGTTTCGTGCACGAGCGAATTACATGGAAATTGATGCATATAACTTGAAATTTTAAAAAAAGGGCAGCTCTGGCCCGCTCACGGCACTCCCTCACCAGCTCCTCCTTCGTTGACCTCCTATCCTCTTTGTCTGAAACCCTATGCTCGAAACTCTCCTTCCTGAAGCCTGTGCCTGCTTCACCCCCTGGGATGGTAGACCTCCATGGTACTTCGCTTCCTACTTTGGTAAGCATTGACCCTTCGAGCTTGTCTCCACGCAACACTCGGTTGGCTAAGCGTCCTCCTTCCCGATATCCTTGGCTCCCCAGGCTTCTCAGTCTGAGATCCTTGCTCGGTAAAACTCTTTCTACTTCCCCTTTTAAACGTTGAGCTACCTTTTCATTCGGCACCACCACATGGTAAGCTCCAGTCTTCTCTTCCCCTACTTCTTTTCCTTTTGGCTGAGGTAAAACAACCTTGAAGAGCCGAAAATCTAGAGCAAAGTGATCCCTCTCCTTTCTCTTTCTTTGTTTCTTGTTCTTCTATCATTACTTTGCTTTGAATTTGATGTTGTTTATGTGCGAAATGTCAATTGATGATGAAGGAAATTGAATGCTTGCTCTTGAATGGGCATTGATTCATGGCTAATGCTAAAACTTTCTTTTAGCTTTTTTTTTATTTGTTACTGGAGAAGATTTTAATGAGCAATGCAAGGTTGTTGGTGTTGTTTTCTCAGGGTTCCTGCCACTGTTTTGAGTATTTATCTTCATTTGCTATATATAAAATTTGACTAGAAGCTTTGGTATATGCGCTCTCATGCCATCCTTGGTGGCCCACAATTGTGAGATTAAGAATGAGAAAACTTTGCTTAGAAAGATACAGCTGCAATTAGAGGGCAGTAGGATTGACAATAGTTTGAAATCATGGCCACAGAATTTCAAGCTGCTACACTTTCTTAATAATAGAAACACTTTAACACAGTAATACTAGAAGAAGATATACGGCCTGGAGTATTGCGGGCATCCACAGCTGCCAAGGATTTCAGTTGAGGCGATCAGTAGAAAGTTTATCAATTTCGCTATCACAATATAAAACAAAGATAATCCATGGCAGCCATATGCAAACAATAGTTAGCCTATCCTTGTACATTCAGAAGATAGGGCATTTACATACTCACCACTCAATTGCCATGTATTTACATATCTAACCCCTTAACTTCAATATTTTTTTGCATATATGTTGTCTTATGCATAGAAAGAGGCGTTTCACTTTGGTAAAAATTAAAATGGTGGTATTTGTCATGTGATATGGAACACTTTGGTGGTATAAATGCGGAAGATGAAGTTTAGAAGTTAGATATGTAAACATAAAAGAATTTTTCTTGTTGCATGCTGTCCATGGAATATAGTTTCCTGATTTTTGCGAGGTCCTATGAGCTTGCTAACTCCTTTTGTTTGAGAAACTTCAATAAGTTTCAGTGCGTCTCGATTTGCGAATCATTTTTGTGACTCTGTTCCCTTGCCTGTTTGCTGGGTTTTTTTCCTGCTTGGGGGCTCGATTTTCTTGTTTGGCTGCGTGGTTTCCTTGCCCGTTTGTTGGGTTTTCCTGCTTAGTAGCTCGGTTTTCTTGTTAGCTGCTCGACATATTTTTTTGTTGGATACTCAAAGTTTTAGTTGGTTGCTTTTGCTGTTTTGCTTGATTTTATTGTGAGATGCTCGGTACTCTTGTTGTAGCATGGCCGACCACTGCATGTCATGGTTTTGGAAATCAAAAGAGTCTTCATGGCTTGTTGGGTTTCTTTGTTGTTGGCTAGGCTCTCCTTGTTGATTGATTGGATTCCTTGTTTGTCAGGGTTTCTTGATGGTTTGATGGGTTTTCCTTGTTGTTGGCTCGGTTCTCCTTGCTGATTGCTCGGTTTTCTTGCTGTTTGTTTCGGTTTCTTGATGGTTTGTTGGGTTTCCCTTGTTGTTGGCTCGGTTCTCCTTGTTGATTACTTGGTTTCATTGATGTTTGCTCGGTTTTCTGGCCAGCCTACCCAGTTCTCTTGCTTGGTTAGTACATGCATATGGCAGATGAGAAACTTACAATGAAAGAGGAATGAGTAAATTCAACCTTTTTTTTTAAAGGAGTGGATAACTACGTTTGCCAGAAATTTTGAAACAATGATAGTTTTGTTATGACTTATGCTAAAAAAGTAGAAGGGAAATATGTGAAAATTGTGTGTGCAACTTGATGTTAAAAACATTAGTTATATAAATGTGCAAAATGGCAGTTTAAGTGTTGGATACATAAGGATTATAGGGCGGCATGCATGTGAATCCTCCTTGGATTTTTGGCTATGAATTATGAAAATACCTAAGTGTCTTTCTTAAATTTCTTTTGATGATTGGAAACATTTAGATTATTGTGGCAATTTTATATGGATTATCGAGAAGGGATACAAGTGGGAGGTGACGGAGATAAGTGCGAAGATGCGAAACGCTTTTGGTGCTTAAAACTGGATAATAAAATAATACTTCTACTGACCAGATGACCTCGTGAGGGTGTGTCGGTCAACTTTTTCGATGGATTGATTTAGATTTTGAAAATATGAAAATATGAAAATAATTTTTGAAATTTAATTTAAGTATAAGAGATATATATAGTTTGAGTTTTAAAAGTAGTATGTTTTAATTTTTGAAAAATGAGACCAAGTGGATCTCATTCGTCCAATAGTTTGCATAATCGTGTCTGATACCGCGATACTACACCCTCCCGATAGATAAGTGTAGACCTCGGCGATAGACCCAATCCTGCAAACTAAGAGATTTGTGACATTCGTTTAGTCTGCGAACCTTTTATATATGACCGACAAGTTCCCCTGTCTAATACAAAGATTAAATAGGGTTTATTTTATCTGGGTTCCAAGTTCCATATAGAGGCAAGCCCCTATAGTTAATTACATCCCAAATGACGGGAGTCATTTGAGAAAACTCTCGATAATGATCAATGGTTCTAGTCTTCAAGAATTCAAGGTTCAGGTTTTCAAGATAGGACGTAGAAGAGCAAATGGGAGTGACTCAAATATGAACAGTTATTTCAGGAGTTCAAAGGAAAGAAAAGGTAGGGGATGTCACAGATCCTAAGGAGAACCCTCAATGACTTCCCAAACTATCTTACTATGTGGCTGCATTTTAGAGAAGATGTTATTTGAATGTTTAATCCTGCCAATTTTATTATTTGGGACTTATATTTGCATAATATCCGATTATGTAAATAACCCGCAGAGATAAGAGGGTTTCCGTTGTAACGAACAACAACCTCGGAACTTAAGGCGAGTTGGGACTTATGCTGCACAACATGGTTGTGCAGGGGCCTAAGGAGAAAGTGAGGATTTATGTCGCGTTAAGCGAGCTACCTCGAAGTCCTACAAGTTGT